GGTCACAGGTGTGATATTCACGTCTCTTCTTTCTTCGAGTTGGTTTTTTTCTGATTTTTTCCCACATTCCATCTTGTCCTTCATCCTCAAACGGATATATATGGGTCATCATCTATCCATCTTCCAGATGTGAATTAACAAAATTTCCCCTTTTCGTTTGAACACGGTTTGTGAACAGGAAGTAAATTTATATCACCCCCTAAAAATTCTATAATTAATATTTCGCTCTTGAAATATGATATATATCATATTAAAGCTTGATATTTTAGAAGACATTCGTCCAAAAAATTTATTATTATTATTATTATTATTATAGTAATAATAGTAAGCTTTTTATATGGTAACTAATTGCAATTTCTTATTAAAAACGATACAAAATAAAGTGTTTTTATCGCGAAAAAGCTATAAAAGTTATTAATAAGTATAAATTTATTTTAATAGCTAAATATTTCATTAGTTTATTCTCAATTAAATGTATCCAAATTATAGTTTTTACGGTAATTATTAAACACGTAATAGACACTTTGCCCGTGGAATTAAACGAAAGCGCTCAATTTTTCCAATGCAGATTGTGAAAAATACTGTAATTTGTATAGATAATCCGATATTAGTAGAAAATAATTGATACTTTCACGTAGTAACGTACAATAAATCCCGTAACAATAGTTAATTTAGATACATAGAAGTGCCGGATACGAAAGTATTAGTGGGACTTCCCCCGGAATAAAATGATTATGTACAACGATGTCGTAACTTGTATTCAAATTTCATTGTTTTCACACTGATGACTGTCACGTCTGACCTACATTAGTGAGTCATTTTTTCCAAAGGACAGTATGTGATTTGTTTATTTAGTAGCATTATTCAAACTCTCGATATAAGATACGGCGTGGGAACTAATAACAGCGTAACAAGAGTATTATAAATGTTACAAAATCACGATAAAGTTCGAATAGATACACATTTTCTGTTTATTGTTAGAGTTAAAAGTACTATAAATTATTATAGAGATAAACACTTTTTTTTTCTAATTATTGTGACAGAAAACGTAGGTTAGTGAGGCCTTGAGAACTTCGTCCTTCCTTCCTTCCTTCTTTGATCACTTGTTAACATGGAAAGTACTCGAATCCATTAAGGAACGAATTCTTTTCTTTCGTTTCTGTCTCTGTTGAAGAAGGGGGTGAAAATACAAAAAGAAAAAAAAAAGAGTTTTTAAACCTCGAAACAAAGAGCAACAACCGTCCTTTTTAACTACACAAAACAAAAAAGAAAGAAAGAAAAAGAAAAAGTGCAGCTATCTCTCCTCCCATTTGACATTTTCTTACAAGCTTTAAGCAGCTGGCAACCATCCTATAGCAAGAACAGTCATGCGCCCTGCAGTTCTAAACTGAAGTCACGTGTGGAGCAGAGGACGGTAGCGGCAGTTGCCATAACGACGACAGACGGAGAGGATCGAAGTTCAACTGATGAGCTACTGATTTAGAAGGTAAGACAGTTCTTCGACTTAAAAAAAAAAATTATGCGAAGTTTTCCCATTAAAATAATGAGAAGACTTGGTAGAATCTTCCTGTCGTATACTTTCCGGAACAACAGGAGATTCGCATCGACGAAAGCAATCCGAGTTAGGAGATTAAAAAAAAAAAAAAGAAAAAAGTACCCATTAACTGTCGCGGCACGTGCGGATGGGGCATCCAGTGGGATGCAGAGTGAAGCAAAGAGCGATCTCAGTATGTGAAATGATGGGACGACGACAGACAACTGGTAGATGTTAAAGGTCACGTTTACGCGAGAGAGTCGAATGACGCGTTTCCTGCCAAATTAGTGGGTCCATATGCGAACCAGTTTCGATTCTGAATGATGATTATCGAAATAAACAAATGAGAAGTTCGTTTTATTTTATTTTTTTCTGCTATACTTGCTTCCAAACACTGCAATTTATACTGTTTATTCTATTGAGACCATTTGTTTGTTTGTAAACAGAGTGAGTTGACTCAAGTTCCCACATCAATTTTGGATAGTTTTAAATATATCTTGCAAGAAGAAATACATTTAAAGNGGGTTATATAAAAAATTGTACATTTTAATAACAAACTGTATAGGTACTATCTAACCTCGATTTAGTGCCAAAATTTAAAATTACGTGTGGCGCTATCTATTACCGTATTTTATTTAAAAACTTTTTATGTTTTTATTATAAAATGACAAAAACCTTAATTTTGAGGGTAGGGATGAGTTTTATAAAAAAAATTGTAAATGTTAATAACGAGTAAAATCCTCATTAAGTCTGACCCTACTGGAGATATATATGACCCCATTATCTCCCCATCCCCTCAACCTTTAACCACCAAAATTTAACAGCATCAATCCTTCTAATAAACAAACATCCTTCTGCAAAATTTCAGAAATTTTCTACAAAAAGCACAGGAGTTACTAAGCTTCAAACTGTATTCCACACAAACTAACATCCATACATACAGAAATTACCCCAAAATTTTTTGCATTTCTTGACATTTCAAGGTGTAAAAATCTGGAGGGTCATTTTTGCCAGATTGCCATACTTTCCCTCTGTTACAGCAGCCAGGAAAGTAAAAATTAAGAATTCTATGTATAAAGAAAAGGGAATGTTAAATCTTACTACAATGATAACTAATTACATGTTTAGCCCAATAATCTGGTAATTAACATTAAAAAACATGAGTGTCACAAAATAATCCAAATATACAGTTCCTATTTAAGGAGGTCAGTGGAAAAAAATTTTCTTAAAAGGAGTCGATACACGAAAAAGGTTCAGAACTCCTGCTGTAGAGAATAAAAAATTAAGTAAACATCTTTAAAATATTCTCAAGGTAAACTGGATTTAATGCAATTAGATATGGAAATGAATCTTTTGATTTCCAGCAGTAGTTTAATACCATAAAAAAATTTTTAACCTACTCATAGGTCTTCCTCATGAATCAATACAAATACATAAATAGATTTTGAGATTAAAATCAAACAGAATACAAATTTACAAATTTGGAAGTTCTAAACTTAAACGAATATAATAAAAAATTTAAATTTTAATTATAGAGTTTTATTTTCTTTATTTAATTTTAAAATAAATGAAACAAACATACTATATTTTATATTATTTAAATAAATAAATAAATAGTGTCAAAGTTTATGGTTCAAAAATATATTTCCAGGTCATGGAAAGACTGTCTACGTCTCTAAAATTAATACACATTCGTTTTTGTGAGCTTTAAATATTTCTATCATTTCCAAGTATCGGAGGTCGCTAAGATTTCTATTAGGTTGTATTATTGATGCATCCTCCCATGCAACTCTTACGTCCTGCTCTCTGGCATAGTTGGCTAAGATTATGTTGTTTGTGTTCTTGTTAATTGTATATTTATGTTCCTTGAGTCTTGCTTGCAAACTCCTCATTGTAGCTCCCATATATGTATGTTATATTAAATAAATAAATAAAAATAACTGTTTCGTTTATTTTAAAATTTTAATTATTGAATTTTATTTTCTTTATTTAAATTTTATATTACATTCATTTAAGTTTACAAATTTGGAAGTTCTATTCTGTTTGATTTTAATCTCAAAATGCTATTTATATATTTGATTTGTTAATCCTAACTGAGGAAGACCTATGAATAGGTCAAAAATATTTTTATGATATTAAACTACTACTGGAAATCAAAAGGTGAATTTCCTTAAATATCTTTATATCGAAAAGAATAATATGAAAAAACTGATTTTAAGAAAATCAAATCCACAAAGCAATCTTCACATTCGTGTTTGTTAACTAAGATATAGTTATCAGGAAAATATAAACGAGTTTCTGTTATTAAGTATTGTCTGGTAAAGTATTTTGTGGGCATATTGTACTGGAATTTGGAGAATATTTTCTTCAAATCATGCACAAAAAGAAATTTTACGAAAAAAAAAATTAGTTTCAATTTTGCTCCTAAGAATTAAAACCGCGGTAGAAATACTCAAAAATTCTTTTCATTTTTTAAAAAATTTATCAATATAAAAAAAAAACTTATTTTTAATAACCAAAAACAAGTTAGTAAGCTAATTATATGTCGTACAGCTAAATGGTAGAGCTAAAGTGAATACATTATACACTAAAATACCTAAATATGATATAAGTTTAGTAAATTAACCAAAATATCCCAAATAAATGTGTCAAAACTATTTTATTTGCTTAGCTTTAAAATCAGTAAATATAAATATATATTTTATATCATTTGATTTCATCATGTTTGTAAATGATATTTATATCCATTCTAAATCTAACTTGAATCTATCAAGGAGTCAGGAACCTTTTGTGATACTAAGAGCCAAATCATGAAAAAAATGAACTAAAAATAAAATTTTAGCAGTACAATTACATTTTCAAACAATAAAAATATCAATATAATTTAAAACTATTTAAATGCATTGTAATAATGCATTGATAGATAAATGTAATGATTTCACTTATTAATACATTTTTCAAATTTGTATTCTCTTATTCAAACTCAATATATATTTAGCATTCAGATTTTTATTCATTAGTCTGTACCAATATTTATTAAAAATCAATGATATAGAAGCTTAATTAAATTATCAATTTATTAAATTATTTGAATAATTAAGATATTAACTTTTGTGAATAAGACTCTTACACATATTTCTTTACCATTATTATTCTGTGGTAAAAGTTTTTTTTTATAATAATTGTTAAACATAAAGAATGACTCTGTCGTATCAAGCATAAAAGTGAACAAATTTAGAAAGATTAAATTTTAATAAATAAAAATATTTTTAAAGTTTCTTTTTTGTTTCATTTTCAGATTTAATGCCAAATATAATTATCAGGAGAAATGCCAAAATAATTATTTTACATTGATGCAATTAAATGCATTGATTATAACAAATAAATTTAAATTATTCTGTTGTTATTTTGACTTATTTCAAATTACAATAAAGAATATGAAAGAAGAAACTTTTTTGTACGAGTTAATTTTTTTTAATGTTTAAATCTTACTTTTCCATTAATGTGATTAGCCATATCCCACAAAGGTATTAATGCCGAAATAAAATTATTTCCATCCGAAGAAGGAACTGCATTTTGTCTAGTCATGACTGTCGATACTGCCCATCTGGAAATACACATAGTTTTTGTTAATTTAAAACATTTATAATAAACATTATATTTTTAAAAAAAACTTCACTTTCCACATAAGTTAGACAGTACAAAAATAAAAAATAAAATTTTGTTTAATTTTATTTATAAACAAAAAAAAAAAAAACTTATAAACAAGCAGTAATTAACTGATAGATATCTTATTTTCTATAATAAACAAAGCATTACTGAAGAATTTGATGCTGATAAACTCAAACATAGAGCAATATATCATATCAATTATACATTGATATATAAACTATTTATTTTACATAAAAATACTTAAATTATTTATAAACAAAACTAATGATAAGTTTTCAATGATACAGATTAATTGGATAATTCTAAAATTTAATTAATTTCAGATAAAAAATGAGTGAAGACAATAAATTTTCTAAAAAATGAAATTAATTCACTTTAAATCCAAAATTAATAAATTTTTAAGATAATTTTCCATTAATTTACATTTCCCATGAAAACTGTGAGTTAAGCAAGAGTTCACATACTATCCTTATGATTAAAACATAACCACAAAAAAAAAAAAAGGGAAGGGAAGGAAAGAAAATCAACATGTGCTATTAATTTCAATTTCACAGAACTCTTTTAAAGAAAACCAAACTCAAAGTGCAGAGTAAATCATAAGCTCTGCACTTTAATATAAAACCTTAATACTTCTTACACTTGATGTTAATATTAAAAAAACTGTGGAAATACAAACGAAAGTAATTGGATATGTTTATTTCTTTCTGTGGACCATGTCCCAGGGGCACACGTGCCTCGTTATGTTAAATCTCTCCTCTTTCAGAAGGGAGATGTCTGTTATAATTTCCCCCCTTAACATTTCTTTCTAACTTTTGTCCTTCGCTTGTCATGTTTCTATTAATGGCTCTTACATTCTTTTTATATATATATATATATTAAGAGTAACAGCAGTTAGTGAATGAATAGAAAAAGAAAATTTTATTTTTTTATTTATTTCTTTGTAAGAAAAATGTTACTATATTAGCGTAAGCTTATAAAATGGAACCAAAATCTCATTCCAAAAACTTAATATCTAGAATTTTTATGCAATTCTACATTTTAAAGGGTTTTAATTAGATTAATGACGCTCTAATTCTTTCTTTATTTAAACCACTTTTTTGGGTCATTTATTCTTTCAAATGGCCACAATTTATGTTCAGTATAAATTTATTTCCTAAGTCTAGATTTGTAATTAATTTTCCATTAAAAAAAGGATGTTTCAAGTACACGATGCATGAAAATAGTTACAAAAATTCAATTACAAAAGCCATAAAGAACATTAGATAAATAGGATTCTCTTGAAAGAACTCCACAGCAAAAAAAAAAAAAAGTTTAATATCTGATAACCGAATCTATTAAAGCGCAACCCAAAACTCATTAAACAACAACTAATAATACATAAATAAATTAATAATGCTCGATGCACTTGTTAATTTATTTTCCTTAATGTACTAAGAAAGGAAAGGATAAAAAACATTATTTTCTTCTTCCTCCTAATGATAAATATTACCAAATTTTGACAATCTCGAATATATTACCACGAAGATATAGTTACCGTGAACAATATTTTTGGCCATTTTTTTTTTTTGTATCACCCCAGTTACAATTTTATTTTCAAACTTGGCAGCATTACATATGTACAACGCCCTTTTATTCTAAAAATGAATAACAAAATTTCACTTAACATCCAAACGATGGATAAGTTTCAAAACGTTTAACCTTCCTAAAAGGTTAAAGAATGCATAATTTATAAATAAATAATTATTTTCTAAGCATTTGCACCTGTTTTCCGCATATTGTAGTTCGGCAGCTAAGAAAAATATACCATAAAACTTAGAATGTTTATACAATTCACTGGCAAAGAACCGGATATAAAGTACTCCCTACTGCAGTTTCTTCAACAAAAACTTTAATGATTAAATAATGTTGATACATAAATAAAATAACTCATATTGAACAAGTTAAAAAAAACACTTTAATTAATTATATTGCCTTCGTTATGAATAGTTATGGTACACGCAAAGGCGAATTTTTACCGATTTCTAGACACAAGAGACACTTGAAAAAATTTATAACGGTATAGAAGCAATAAATAAAGATGTACATAGTGTTTAAGACATTGTGAAGTGCATGTGAAAAATAATTTAACAAGATGAATTCGCAACTTGGCCAACCCACGTGGTTATTTCTGTGGCCTGCATCATCGTGAAACGGATACGGAAACACTAATCAACTCTATTGAATTTACGACTATTACTAGTCCTATTTCTGTAAACAAAAACAACAAAAAAAAAAAAACATTACAAAAATTGGATCACGGTGCATCTAACATATTTTCAAATTCCTCGACAGTTTAGAATGTCTTTAGTTCATCCTAATAAAAAAAAAAAAAACTTCAGAAACTTCGACTCTTCGATCGGCCTTTAACGATCACTTTACCCAAATTACGTTACCGAATCCAATTTTCTAGTCGTCATTTTTGATCCCATGATTACAAATCGTGGAATTATTAAATTTATTACGTGAAGAATGTTGAATATACCAATAAAATACTCAAATTTAACAATGTAATTCGTGAAAAGGAAGTATAATCTATCTCTAACACCAGAAAATTTGACAAGAAAATTGCACTTTAAAATACCATTCAAGTCGTATTCATATTTTATAGAAAAGTTAACTTATAAATTTCAAATAATATTTTTAAAAAAAGGAAGAAATTTTCTTACTTTTCTCTAAAAAAAAAGGGACAGGAATTTCACAAAAATTACTTTTTCTTTCAAATAAAATTGTTAATAAAATTCTGAGTATTCTGAATTTCGCATGTTTTTTTTTTTTTAAATGAATGTATTGTACATACATTTTTTTACACTTAGTTATACAAATTAGCATAAACACGTTTTATGAAAAGTAAGTAATATATGTACTGTTTATGGCAATTCATTAAATTTTTCCTGTTTCTATTCATATATTTTTAGCCGTTTCCGGTGAGGAGACGAAAGGTCACAGGTGTGATATTCACGTCTCTTCTTTCTTCGAGTTGGTTTTTTTCTGATTTTTTCCCACATTCCATCTTGTCCTTCATCCTCAAACGGATATATATGGGTCATCATCTATCCATCTTCCAGATGTGAATTAACAAAATTTCCCCTTTTCGTTTGAACACGGTTTGTGAACAGGAAGTAAATTTATATCACCCCCTAAAAATTCTATAATTAATATTTCGCTCTTGAAATATGATATATATCATATTAAAGCTTGATATTTTAGAAGACATTCGTCCAAAAAATTTATTATTATTATTATTATTATTATAGTAATAATAGTAAGCTTTTTATATGGTAACTAATTGCAATTTCTTATTAAAAACGATACAAAATAAAGTGTTTTTATCGCGAAAAAGCTATAAAAGTTATTAATAAGTATAAATTTATTTTAATAGCTAAATATTTCATTAGTTTATTCTCAATTAAATGTATCCAAATTATAGTTTTTACGGTAATTATTAAACACGTAATAGACACTTTGCCCGTGGAATTAAACGAAAGCGCTCAATTTTTCCAATGCAGATTGTGAAAAATACTGTAATTTGTATAGATAATCCGATATTAGTAGAAAATAATTGATACTTTCACGTAGTAACGTACAATAAATCCCGTAACAATAGTTAATTTAGATACATAGAAGTGCCGGATACGAAAGTATTAGTGGGACTTCCCCCGGAATAAAATGATTATGTACAACGATGTCGTAACTTGTATTCAAATTTCATTGTTTTCACACTGATGACTGTCACGTCTGACCTACATTAGTGAGTCATTTTTTCCAAAGGACAGTATGTGATTTGTTTATTTAGTAGCATTATTCAAACTCTCGATATAAGATACGGCGTGGGAACTAATAACAGCGTAACAAGAGTATTATAAATGTTACAAAATCACGATAAAGTTCGAATAGATACACATTTTCTGTTTATTGTTAGAGTTAAAAGTACTATAAATTATTATAGAGATAAACACTTTTTTTTTCTAATTATTGTGACAGAAAACGTAGGTTAGTGAGGCCTTGAGAACTTCGTCCTTCCTTCCTTCCTTCTTTGATCACTTGTTAACATGGAAAGTACTCGAATCCATTAAGGAACGAATTCTTTTCTTTCGTTTCTGTCTCTGTTGAAGAAGGGGGTGAAAATACAAAAAGAAAAAAAAAAAGAGTTTTTAAACCTCGAAACAAAGAGCAACAACCGTCCTTTTTAACTACACAAAACAAAAAAGAAAGAAAGAAAAAGAAAAAGTGCAGCTATCTCTCCTCCCATTTGACATTTTCTTACAAGCTTTAAGCAGCTGGCAACCATCCTATAGCAAGAACAGTCATGCGCCCTGCAGTTCTAAACTGAAGTCACGTGTGGAGCAGAGGACGGTAGCGGCAGTTGCCATAACGACGACAGACGGAGAGGATCGAAGTTCAACTGATGAGCTACTGATTTAGAAGGTAAGACAGTTCTTCGACTTAAAAAAAAAAAATTATGCGAAGTTTTCCCATTAAAATAATGAGAAGACTTGGTAGAATCTTCCTGTCGTATACTTTCCGGAACAACAGGAGATTCGCATCGACGAAAGCAATCCGAGTTAGGAGATTAAAAAAAAAAAAAAGAAAAAAGTACCCATTAACTGTCGCGGCACGTGCGGATGGGGCATCCAGTGGGATGCAGAGTGAAGCAAAGAGCGATCTCAGTATGTGAAATGATGGGACGACGACAGACAACTGGTAGATGTTAAAGGTCACGTTTACGCGAGAGAGTCGAATGACGCGTTTCCTGCCAAATTAGTGGGTCCATATGCGAACCAGTTTCGATTCTGAATGATGATTATCGAAATAAACAAATGAGAAGTTCGTTTTATTTTATTTTTTTCTGCTATACTTGCTTCCAAACACTGCAATTTATACTGTTTATTCTATTGAGACCATTTGTTTGTTTGTAAACAGAGTGAGTTGACTCAAGTTCCCACATCAATTTTGGATAGTTTTAAATATATCTTGCAAGAAGAAATACATTTAAAGATTTTTTAAAAAATTTCTATAAGTTTTAAAGTTTAAAAATGTTAAAAAATTAATTAATTAATTAATTTGTTTATTTATAGTATTTAACAAATGATTTTAATTTGAAAAATTGAAGAGAAGGAAATTATTTTTTTACATGCTTCCTAATATAAAATTAGAAAAAAAACAAAGTCTAAGCAATGTAATTTCAAATTATGTAATACATAGTTTAGAAATTTTATCCTAGAACAAACCTAGAATAATAAAAAAAAAACAATTTTTATAACAAGAGAAAACCTAGATTAAATGTGTTATGGGAACAAGAAACATAGGATTACCTAAACAATTTTATTTTAGAATATCATCTTGTTCCAAAAAAGCTGTTTAATTCTTTACCTAACAAAAGATGATACATTTTTTCCCATTCATAACAATAATTAAAATAATTATCAAATAATGTGATGATTATTCCCATTTACAAACTAAAAGTAATTATTATTATATATAGTTAGGTTATACAAACTAGGCCAAGAACTTAACTTCCTCCAGGTTATTTATTCCAGATATATCTAAAGATTTACTTATCTTAGATCTTTATGTAACAGGCATTGATAAATTACAATAATTATTATTGCCATTATACTTAAAAGCCAAATAATAGTAATTATTTCATACAAGTGGAATTTGATTAATATATTTCATAATTATTTCGATTTTTTCCATTAATTTTTTCATGATAAACAAATATACTTTTTTGTATGTCTTATGTAAATATTATGTTTTACTACCGAATAACATAACATAAACCTAAATTATAACTTATTTTATTAACCTTAAACATTTAACAGGTTGCAGTAAGAATTCGTTAATGATCTTAATATCCATTTTTATATAGCCATTAAAAATCTTTAAACTCATTATTTTTAAGTATCTTGTAGTCGGTAACATATCATTTATTATCCTCTAAAAAGTTACTAATTAACATAATGCAACTGCTTACTATAAATGTGATATCGGATATCAGGATTGACATTGAAGATTGCTACTGAGATAACTTACCATAAAAGCGTTTTTATGACCAAAATATTGGTGATGAAAAAAAAAAATGTAATGGTATATCGTGTATCGCATTGAATATTAATAAATATGGATAGATTATTTATTACGGTGTAAAAAAATTCCCTGTTACTCCAAAGGTCATACTTATTAAGTTGTTACAATGCTTGTTTATTTTTTTTCCTTTCTGTTGCTTTTATTTACGAGTTTTATTAAAAATTAGAAAGACAATATAAAATTAATACAATTTTACTCGGTTAGTCTTCAAAGGTTCGCATAACAATGCATAAATTGCATAATACATTTATGCATACAAATTGCATAGGAATTTATGCATATAAACATGAATAAATTCCTATTTCCGATCCGATATTCTGAAGAATTAAATATATTAAAATTGATTGCATCCAAGAAAATAATTAGTTCTGTTCAAAATTTATGTAGAGAGGAGTGAATGTGTATAGTGCGTGCGACTTTTTCGACCCCGTTTGACAAGAAAGAAAACTTTCAAGTGGAGGTCAAATGTCATTCTTTTCACAGGCTTTAGAAGACTATCGACAAATAAGAAGTGTTGGAACAAAATAGGCTAATATATATATATATATATATATATCTTTATAAGCTTTTCTATTCTGAAAAATTAACTATGCTCCTCTCAAAGAATAGAATAATGACTGCATAAGATAATGGACAGCTGGATAATGCTTGGGTGTATCTCGAGATTACCATATCTGGAGACAAAATAGCGGACTTAAACTAGTTAAATATCCGTTAGAAGAATATCAAATAGCAAGTTTTTAAAACTTTACAACTTTGATTTACTGCGTGCTCACTTTCTACTGCATTCCGCTTATAATACTTAGCATTCGACCGGGGGCTTTTACTATATATATAAAAAAAATACGACCGTAAATCTTCTTGAATAGAACGCTGAGTGTTTAAGTCAATGATAGTATTTTTTCATGTAAAACTAAATAGATAAGATAGAAAATAGGCATTACACTATATGGTCGTGTAAGTCCACTGATAACGTATACAGTACATTACGTTATCGTCAGTTTTAAGTTTTATTCTTCAGAAATTTTGAAATTTTATTTACATGAACAATGTATAAACCTTTTCCCGAATTAATTTTCTACATAAATAAATTTTTACTCGAGGAAAGAAGTTCGTAATACGGACCTAATCGTAAATAATTTTATATGAGATCTTTGTGATTATCCGGAACCTTTCTATCTAATTATATTCTGAAAAATATTTCTTAATTATTAAAAAATAACAATGGATAATCTTTATTGTACACAATTTATAAATACCAATTGCAATACTTTGCACTAAAAACAATTTTTTAAAACAATTCTTCCGTTATTGATTATTACTAAAAGCAATTTCGGAATTGACTTTTCGGCATAGTTCACAAGCAATTTTCTTTTCATGCCGGAAACATTTTGGCAATCTGGACCAGACACATCCGGTTTTGACAAAGTGTAATTGGAATGAAGTACATCTCTGACTGTTCCCTCATTGTATGTATCCTCTTTCACTTAAATCACGTCACCATCTGTCACAGCCAAACTGTGAAGGGAGTAGAGTTTGTTTCCGACGCTACTAAAACCAATTTAACAATAAAATTCCATCGAAACAATCAGACTGCAACCAATTGAATCTGTCCACTATCAATAACTCTGAAATTGGTAACGAATGGCACACACAAAAAAAAGAGTTTTTATGTATAGATTTATAGGGGATATACAGACTTTAATATGTAGTTTTACTCTGTAAAATCTGCAATATTGCAAAAAGTTTATTGCATAATTAATACAGAAAAATACAAATCATTCCAAAGAATCTATAACAGGAAAAGTAAAAGAAATAATTAACATAATTGCATGTTAATATAGCTTACACTAAATTAGGATATCCAATTGTTTTTAATGGATTTTACTCTTAAAAACATTCATATTCAGGTGATTTTCTGTACATCTACTGTATGTTTCCATTAGTCTAATTAAACGTCGACAAGACTGTCGATCGTCTTACACGAAAGACGCCTCTCATTAGCAAACATAGGAAAATAACTGTAGAGAAACACATGTGACAATTCTAAGAATGAATAAAGGACAACGAAATAGATTCGTCCAAGTTAAAGTATGTTTAAGAGCCAACTGTCTTCCACCCATAAATCAGGGTCGCTGTACTCAACGGATGGACATTGGATATCCTTGGCGAGGACAAGGTCATGACCTCTTTGCTAGCGAGGTCAAAACAGGGAGGAGGAGGAAAGAGTTGCTCTTGTCTTATTAATTGTCCCTGTGGTTAACTCTTATACATGTAATATTTCGTTTAGTTTTGCAAACAATATTTCATGTCAAATATTGTTGCATTTTCTTATATAATATTTTTGAATGTTAAATTCATAATTCTCTCGAAATTTATCCTTTTTAACAGAGAAAATTTAACGAAAAGGTGCAAATTTAATAGAAAAACGTAACTAACAATTAGATTATTTTCATTATTCACTGTTTCTACAAACCTGCAACGTACAGTACCTAAACATTTCCTGCTTTAATTATTAAATGGATGCAATTCTTTTATCCTGCAGGATGCAATAAATTATCTCTTAAATGTAATTATCTACACGGATGTAAAGTATTCTTAAAATCGTTTATTTGATAGTTCAAAGCAATCATTTTATAATTTAATTACGATCTAGGCAATGCTCTATTTTGTTTATCAACCAACTTACCAGAATGAAAGCTAGTACAGTATTTTGTTACAGTGAAGATAAGCGTAAGTTAAGCATCCAAATCGACAGTCCAAACTATAAATATTGAAAAAGCACACATACATAAGCTTAAATAGGCTAAAAGATATAGAACTTGCAGTTGGAAATCAGCTGTTAGCATCATTCATTCTAGCTGATTGGGTTCAGTTTCTTTTTTTCCCCCTTTCTTTCTTTCTGGGAGTAACGATCGATCATGAAACTAAAATTAGATTCTAAACTATTCCGAAGTAAAATGTGTTATAAATCATTGAGAATAGCAATATTTAAATATAGATCTAAAGTATGAAGGACTTGTTTGAATTTGATAATTACAAACGTTTCTGATCTTTCCAAATAAAGAAGAAAAAATAAAATGTGTGTAAAATCTCTTCTTAACGAACTTTTAGACGTGTTCTTTCGTTAAAAAAATCTCTTAAAATTTATATTTATTCCATATCTGAAGTATTAAAACAATGTCTTACCAATTTAAATCATTGTAGTTTGTTAATTAAAGTAATTGATAAAATATGTTGCTATAATAAAGATTTATATATATATATATATATATAAATATAATACNAAAACCTGCCAAACTGAATAAAAATGTTTCATACTGCCAGAGTCCTGTTTACACAGGTTTTACTGTAATAAAAATAATTATATATATTATAAATTCTTTAAATCCAATCATCCTTTCTTTGGATTGTATTTAATACAATCCAAGGAAAAATATATTTAATATACTTCATTTGCTATATTATTTTTAACATTTTATTCCTGAAAAATTGTGCAGAAATTTGAAGAATTAAAAAATGTAAAAAATATCAGAATTTAAAATATTCAAATATTTTTAGACTTCTCGAATTATTTAAAACTGTAGTATATAAAATTGGGAAGATGACAATTATATTTTTAATTACTTTAATTTTTTTAATTTCAGAACAGAATAATTAGTTTTTTTCCTTAAATAAATACTTAAGTTTTCCTGGACAACGCCTTTAATATTGCCTACAGAAACCATTTATTATTGTTACTCACTTGTCAGTCCTTGAAAATTCGTTTCCTGTAGATGCCCAGTGATAATTCCGAAACATTTTTTTAAACCCAGCTCAGTGCAATAATTTAGCGTGAACTTTCAAAACAAATGTAAAATTTAGATTTAAAATTAAGCATTAAATCAATAGAATCTATATAAATTTTCAAACTAATTTTAGAATAGAGTAAATCAACAGCTAACATAAAAAATTTATTATTTTAAATAAATTATAAGCATTCTTAAGAAAAAATTATATAATTTTTTCAACCTATATCCAAAATTTGACCAAACATCTTCGTAAATATAGTATGCAGAGGTTTATCTTCGTAATAACTTTTCCTTAAGTTTATTAAATAATAAACTTAAGGAAAAGATGCATTATTAATAAGTTTTTCCTTTAGTTTATTATTTAATAAGACAAAATATTTGATTAATACTTTGAATTTTTGTCTTATTAATTTGTCTTCTTCCAATTTTGAATTAATACTTTCATAATACTTTGCATAACCTAGAGTTGATCAATGTCCAAATTTCTCTACGGACCACCAAAATTTTTGGTGGTCCGTAGAGAAATTTGTACACTGGTTGGCAACCACCTATTTAGATTATGTAGGTATCAATGTTTGATAAAATGAATATCCTAAAAGTGTTGATGTTAAGGTCCTACACAGTACATGACAGTTAAATTACTTATAATATTAAATTATTACATTTTGAAACTGCAGATTAAATATTTATTTATAAATTATTAATTAAATCAATTGATAGATTTATTTTCATAAAAATCAACCAACTGCAGTCAGAGTAATGATATAAAAGAAGTTATAGAAAAAATTGAAGATGTAATAATACTTTGAAGAATATTAACTTTTAAAGCCATAAACACTTTTATATTCTTGATTGTAAGGTTATATTTTGCATTACAACATTTCAGAGAATGGAATCAGAACATTGCAATCGAATAAACACATAAAATTCAAATAAATTAAAGGTTTTAAAAACAAAATATTTCTTTTTAGATCAAGAGCAATGATATTATTTTTTCCAGATGTCAAACAAACTTATAGACTATATTCTGTGGGTTAAAACATCTGGCTAGCAGACAGTTAGATGAATAAATGATAAAGAGTGGAGTTAAGATATGCAATTTATGCATAAACTCTCTATTTGTAGAGGAAGTTAATGTTTATAATTAATACATATAAAAAATTTTAATTAGAAACTAAAAGTAAATAAATATTCTCTAAATAAAAGTAACTTTTGTGTTATAAATTATATCCTGTAATGATTAATTGCAATATCTTTTTATAGAAATGGCTTCGATTTTATAGTGTACAACAAAGATGTTCTTTGTGTAAACAAATTTATTAATAGAAAAATTGAACTAATTTTTATACAAATTATTTATTAAAAATATATAATTCAAATTACTCATTTAATATTTAATTGTTATTGTTTTTAGTAATTCTTGATATTTAAAGTTGAATAGTTGCATATTTTTTATGACAAAGCTATATTAAAACTTCAATTTAAATTAAATTTATATGTTTTTCTATTTAAATATTGAAATTTATGTCATAGTAGAGTCATAAAAAATATAAAAAAGCTATCTGGAACAATCCCAAGGCGACAAGGAACTTGAAGTATGTGAGAGTGGAAAACATGAAGTTGACTCACTCCTGTTTGAAATCACATCTGTCGTTCCTATTACGCTACCAAAAAATCTTTTGTTTGTAAAGAAAAAGAAGTGTAAACATTTCTTGCTTGCATTCAAACATACAGAGCTGAAGAGATACAACTAGCTTAGATTTCTGTGACAAATAGTATTATTTTATTTTGTATATCTGATGAGTAAACAATATTTATTTAATCTAAAATAAGTTTTGATCCTTAAAATATTGTGTGTCAATACTCCTTGGTTTGCTTTCAAAAATGTTAAGCTATTGAACAAGAAAACCAAACTATGTTAATGCAGAAAATTTCGATCTTGAATTGCTGTTTAAAATTATAATTTGAATGCAAACAGATATTTCATGTAATAATGCATTACTTGAAAGTTAAACATGATATGCAACTCTTAAATAATGCAACGAAATTATGAGTTGCATGAGCTACAGAACAGTAATTAATCCAAATATAAATCATAGCATCATCACAATATTATGTGGTATATAGCTAATAGTATTTTCAAATTTATCTTACTTGGCAATCAAAACACATTCACTTCTAAGTCTAGATGCTTGACATTATTTAGCTAATAAAAAAATTTATAATAAATACAACCAACCCAATAATTACTTCAAATATCGGTTTTATTTAGCCTTAATAGCACAATAAAGGAATCCAGTTGTTTGTTTAATATAAAAATGAAAAATATATTTAAAACAGTAAATATATTGAAAATATAAAATTGTCTTCATTTTCTGTCATTTCATAAAGTCTAACACAAATTTTTGCAAAGATAGAGCTGACCTTTTATTTGAGGCTGTAATTGAAAATTGTTTTGGACTGTTGCTAGAGATTTGTAAACAACAGAAAATGAGGACAATTTTGTATCTTCAATATACTTATTTTTTATACTTTAATGAAAATACTGTAGACCAATTTTTAATTTTAATGAAAGAAATATCTATTAAAATTATGATTAAATATACAACTAATAAATAATTCATATTAGTAAATATTATAAAATGTTTATTAAATTAATATATTTTTATATTTAGATTATACCAAAAATGACTGTAGTGGCTTCTTGTTTATTGACATTGAGTTTGATAATTGCAAGTATAAAATTATGTGAACTGTTTCCACATGAACTGTCTACAAAAAATGTGGAAAGTGCAAAATCAGAATCATCATATTCTTTAGATACAAATAAAGAATCATTTGCTAGTGAAATAAAGAGGAATAAAAGTTTGGCTGAAGCAATTGAAAAGGATGATACTATATATAATCAAAGAGCACACATCAGTGATTTTACAAATCCAAGAACAGGACTTAATCCATTTTTAGATTTAATTGAAGGTACATACACTGGTTCTAGTAGACAAGGAGCAACAATTCCAGAGAAGCCTACCAGAGTTCCAAAATTTGAGAGTCGAACACATCCTTCATATTCTCTTCCTTCATACCATCAGTGGCCTCCAGATATTGTAGAAGGAGAATCAAACCCAAGGCAAAAGCTTGCAGTGGATGCTGGAAAATCTCTTATTGAGGACTCTTCGTCCAATGGAAGAATTCATGTATTTCCTACTAATCTTTTTCCTTTTAGAGATGTCGAATCTACGACTACTAAATTGCCAAGAATGCAAAAACCATCAAAATTACTCCCAACAAGAAAATGTGAACCATCAAAGCCATTACCAATAACGAGTGAAGATAATTTAAATGTAGATCTCGTGACAACATCTGCTCCAAATAATAATAAAGAAATTGTTACAACACGTGAAAAAAATCTATCAAATAATTCAAATCGTAATTTTACTATTGGAATTACAATTTTAGGAATTGCAGTAATATTTTTCACTATAATGTTAGCTACTTGTTTGTGGAAACAAAGGACGAAAAGGGTACCACGTCATGCAACATTAAGAAACATAGTTAATAATGAACCTGTGAGAGGACGATCAATGCATTAACAAAGAGTACACATATTCAGGAATTAGTATCATCCAGCAATTACTATGATACATAAAAATCAATATATCCATATTAGCATAAGGATAATGCTCAACAACAACTTTGTCATACGTGAAAAACAGTTTTTGAATGAAAAATACAATAATTTTATAGTAGATACAGAAATAATGAAAAAAATAGTGTAATTTTATTATTAATTACATACTATACAAGATGTTTTGTATAATTTGACTTCAATATATTTAATATTTATAGAGCTTATTCATTGAGAAAAAGAGAAGTAAAATTGAGTTAGTGATTTTTAAGGAATTCAATTCATAAGAATT